AAGTATGACTTATCTGATGGATGAACTGAGTTAAAATAAAGGAGCATGCTAGGCTTGGCCCTTTGTCCTCTCAGGAGTGAGCTCCTCTTCCAGGCTGGCCCTCCCACCATGCAGCCATGGGAGGGGACTGGCCCTAAGCCTGTGATGAGCTACAGAAGGCTGCCTTGCCCTGGGCCAGTCACAACTTACTCTTCCTCTCTCTTAGCCTTCAACAATTGCAAAGATTCCACATCTAGCCCCAATCTCCTTAGATCCTTTGTTTCATTAATTTGCTTAGAACCTGGGAGGAGGAAAATAAACTATTTAATGCAAACCCCCCCATAAAAACAACAGCAATAATAATCTTAATGGATTATTAGAAAGAGCAAATGAGAAAATAAAAATATATGCATGCTCAGCATGATGCCTACCAAATAGAGAATACGTTTTTAAAAAGAAAAGAAGTCACAGAGATGAGTGCTGATTGATCAGCACTAAGGTCAACACTACTGAACATGTTAAACATCCCTGGTGACATTCACCTGAGATTGGCAGAGTTGCTGAGAAAGCACTTTCACCTCTACCCTCTTCCTCGAAGGCAAAGTTCATACCATCTCTCAAGGTTTAACAGTTGGTCCAAAGTCACAGCAGGCTGGTTTGCCAGCCCAGGCTGTCAGACTCCAGAGCCCCTGTGCCATACCTCCTAAGTGCCCTGTAAACAGAAGGTACTCAGGAAATATATGTGTTGATTCATACAGAGGGTACAGAATAACTCTGGAAGTAAGAATCTCAGGCCAGCAAGATGTGTGAGCTGAAAGTGTGCTTGGAAATCATCTACCACTGACCAGATTTTACAGCCAGAGACACTGACACTCAGAAAGAAAATGATCAAACCAGTGTCAACTAGAGTGTGGGGACAAGTGCAGACAAGGTAAAGACTAAAGCCCCAGGCCTCCTGATGCAATGGTCAGTCGAGCTCCTCACCTGATGCAATGGCTGCAGACTGAGAATGCACCCCCACCTGTTTGGTTTAAGATGTTTTTTCCCTTTTCCAGAGTAAACATGTTCTGGCATTGAAGGGCAAAACAAGCTTCTTTGAGTGAGATCAGAGGCAAGAAGATTTTAACTCAGTGTAAAGTAGCCCTTTTTTTTGGTACCAGGGATTGAAACCAGGGGGTGCTTAACTACTGAGCCACATCCCCAGCCCTTTTTATATTTTATTTTGAAACAGTCTCACTAAGTTCCTTAGGGCCTCACTAAGTTGTTTTGGTTGGCTTGAACTCGTGATGTTCCTGCCTCAGCCTCCGGAGTCACTGATATTACAGGCATGAGCCACTGCACCCAACTTGAAGAAGACTTTTTAATAGTTTGAATCACGCAAAAGTGCCATAGAAGCAGTGAGTTCCTCGTCTTTAGGGCGTTCAAGCAGAAGCCGATCACCATTTGAAGGCTGTGCAGAGGATTTTTACACATGGAGAGAGGTGGCACCATTAATTCATGTATTCCCCAGACTCCGGAGCCAGTTTGCTAGTTTCAAATGCCTTCCCTGTCTCTTCCTAGATGTGTAAATAAACTGGGGCAAATAAAGTCACTTCTCTGAATGAATTTCCTCTTCTGTAGAATGGAGGTTATAATGGCATTTCCTACATGGAACTAATTTATAAGAATTAAATGAATAAATTTACCTAAAAGACAGTGTTTTGTCCAAAATAGGCCACTATTGAAGTTTCCTGGTCTTGCTGCTCTGTCTATGGTCAGGGGTCACAGTGGTGGTATTGGTCAAGGTCAGACTGAGCATCACTGTGGCACGGGTCTAAGTGCAGGGAATAAAAAGTTCCCTGCTTTCCTGACTCCTGTAGCCATTCATGGAGGTCAAAAATAGAAGAAGAATCTCCAGTAATGACAGGTGACATGAAAACCGTCAAACAGGATGGAGGCCAAGACATTCAAAGAAAACCACTCTGAGTACAGACAAGAAAGGGATGGTGGTGAGATGGTTGGGAGCAGGGCCTTCCCAGCAAGGGATCCAGCAGATTCTCCCTCTAGTCAGAACAAGCTTGTTGCGTTGGGCCAACTGAAATAGAAAAAGGCCTTTGGAAAGAATCAGAACCTGATGTAGCTACGCCAACCCTCGAAGAACAGGAGGAGCAGGACTGGCCCCACCAAGATACCTAGCTATAACCACAAGGCCAGGCAATCAAAAGTGGGGGCATGTGGCTCAGAAAGGAGGGCAGAGGAAGAAGACAAGAAGACCATGAAACAAACTAGGAGGCTCAGACACAGAGCTCAATGAAGTGAGAAGGAGCCTCACGATCCATGGGAAAGGTGCTGAGAAACTGTCTCACTTGAGAAAAAAAATAGAAGAATCTTTTCATCCCAGCAGATAAAGGATTAAATATATAAACGTGAAGGCTGGAACTGCAAGGTTAATAGAAAAAGGAAACAGGAGAATATCACTGAAATCTAACTTCTAGAAAGAACTTCATAAAGTAAACTTTAAAAATATAAATCAAGTGCCAAATGAGAAATTGGTTATGTCAAAGTTAAAGATTTCTGTTCAGTAAATGACATGACGGACAAAGTTATAGACAAACGACAAAATGAGAGAAGATGTTTTAAGATGAGCAAGAGATTACTACCTACCAAAAGGAAATTAAATCCACTTTGAGGAAGGGGATTTAATATATTAAATTAATTACACATAAGCAACATTTGGAATTCAATCAAAATGATGAGAAACTCAAAAGAATAGGACAAAATTATCGTAGTGCAAAAGAAAAGTCAACCATTACAGCAGACTTAGAGCTGATCCAGATATCAGAGTTACTAGGTAACTGAGGTTTTAAGATAAAAAATATGCTCCATAAAATAAAGGAGATGAAGAGAATTTTACAAAGGACTGAAATCTTTTTTAAAAAATAAAAATTCAAGAATAGAAAAATAAAATAACTGAAAATGTATTTGATAAGTTTAACAGCATATTAGACATCATAGAAGAGAAGAAACATGAACTGTAAAGTAGAGTAAGAGAAATACCCAGACAGAAGTACAGAAAGGAAGAAAAAAATGAAAAAAAAAAAGAAAAGAATATTTAAAAGTTATAGAGCATAAACACAGTAAAAAGATCTATTATATGTTTTGACTAAAGTCCCAGGAGAAAAGAGAGAGGATGAAATAAAAACAGTATTTACAATGATAATAAAAAATAAATAAAAAATTTTAAAAGATTTAAAAAAAAACAAAGAAACAAAAAAATTTAAAAAATAAAATGATAATAGACAATACTTTTTCAAAAAACTGATGTAAAATATCAACTCACAACTTCAGGGAGCTCTATCTATCCCAAGTAGAAACATCAAAGAAAACCACATCACTGTCAAACCACTGAAAATCAAAGTAAAAGAAAAAGTTTTAGAAAAAACTGGAGATAGGCCAATAGTCAGAGGTCACATTACCTCTAGGAGAGCAATAAAACTGAACTGATTTACCAACCTTGATGGTGAAGGTCTAAAACAATGGAGTGACATAAAGTGTTAACAACAACAACCAAAACATCCATCTAGAATTCTATACCCATTAAAACTACCTTCAAAAGTAAAGGTAAAACAAAAACACTTCCAAACAAAAACTAGGTCAAAAAAATGTAACACTAAAGAGAGTTTTTAAGCAAAAGAAAAATGTAAATATAATAACTATTCCAATTAAAATTTTTAAAAATCACACCAGATTAAAAATTTAAGTATATGCTGCTTATGAAATAAGATTTAAATATAGACTATTCTACAAGGAAATCTCAACAGATATATCCAAAAACTGAAATGGTTAAAAAATACATTTATATCTCCAGAGTAGAAACAAGCTAGAAACAAACAAACAAAAAAAAGATAACCAGAAAAATATCCCCTAATGATTAGAATTATTCAATACATGTATAAATAATCTCTGAGTCAAAGAAGAAATCACAAGGGGAATGAGGACATATTTTAGCTAAATTATATGAACATATAACATATTAACTTGTGGGCTACGGACAAAGCATTATATAGAGGAATGCAGTCTTAAAATATATTACAAAAGAAGAAAGTTGAGAATGAGTTATTAAAGATCCATATCAGGCGAGCACTCTACCACTGAGCAACGGCCCCAGCCCCAAGAGAACAGAAAAGCAGCGACCACTGATCACATAACCTAGGTGCCAGAATCCCAGGAGGCTGTTGCAAGAGGAGAAACCTGTCAGCCAGTTTTATTCCTGAACTTGTGCACAAAAACTCTACACAGCTTATTAATAAATCAAACCCAATGATAAAGGAAGAGATCATCATATCCAAGTGGGGTTTATTCCATGAGTGTAAGTTTGGTTTAACATTAAAAATCAGTGTAGGAATTATCCAGACCTGTTGTGAAAAAAACAAAAAGAATAGGGTAAAAGCAATAGAAATAATGCCTGAAAGGAGCTTGATTGGATATAATTTGTGGCTGTATCTAGAAACACAGGCCATCTCTCTCATCTTAGGCAGCAGTCTGTGTCACTACTCGTTTGGGGACCATCTGCTGAAGGCTCTTCACCTCTGGGAAGAGGTGAGAAGGACCAGGGAGACCACCCTGCCCTGAGGCTTCCCAGATGTGCAACCTCTGGGCTCCATTCCTTTCCTGGTTGACTGTAATCAACCCTGCCCTGCCTACTCCATAGACTGGCTAGGATAGGAAGGACCCCTGGAACTGGGAACAGTGGCCCATGCCTGTAATCCCAGCAGCTCAGGAGGCTGAGGCAGGAGGATCAAAGACAGCCCCAGCAAAATTGAGCGCAAAGCAACTCAGTGAGACCCTGTATCTAAATAAAATACACTATAGGGTTGGGGATGTGGCTCAGTGATCGAGTACCCCTGAGTTCAACCCCTGATACCCAAAAAATAGAAATTAAAAAAAAAGAAGGGCTCCTGGAAGCCATCAGGAGCTGGATGACACGTGAGATGTGGCACTTCTTTTTGAAAAGGCGCCACCTTTTTGCAAGGCGTGCTCACCTGAGAAGCGGGGGCTGGCTGCTCTGCCGCTTGAATGCTCTTTCCAGCCTCTCCTGGGTCACCCTGGAAAACCCACCAGGCAGGTACAACTTCATGGGCGATTTCTCCTCCTCGATGGGACCGTTCTCTGCTGGGCTGTCCTCTGAAAGACCTCTTGGTCTGGTCTTGTCCCAGTGGGACAGTCCCGCGCGGGGAGTCTGGGGAGGGCTGCTGGGAGTGGCCTTGCAGTTTTCCATAGATGGCTCACTGGGCGGGCCCCGGGGGCTCCTGGAGACTGAGCCTCTGCTGGAGGCTGAGTTGTTCTGTGAGGCTGCACAGGCTGGGGTATGGGTGGAGAGCTCAGGCACCTTCTCACTCTCCTCCTCCTGGGCGTGGGTCTTGCTGCTGGGGGCTGGGGACCTCCTCAGAGAGCGCTTTCGTAAAGGATCCTGGGATGGGAAGGATAGAGGCACTGAGGGTCCCCTTCCAAGGGAGCTGGAAAAATACTTCATCCACTGGCCCATAATGGTCCCTCTCCCAGGAATGTCTGTCCCCGTCACCAACTCTTTTCCCTAAAATCCTGCCTATCTTTTGGCCCCCACTCCTGCCCTGATCCTCAGGCTAACACACCCCACCTGCACAAACCCAGAGCACCCGGGCCTCCTTCATACCCCTGATGGACAGCGGGTGGGCGGACAGGGAAAGCTGCCACTCTAGTTTCTAATTCCTGCATCCCCACCTACCAGCTGGATCACCTGTGACAGTTATTGGACTTCTCTGTCCCTCACGTCCTCACATGTAATACAACCAGTCCAGGGTACATCACCTGCCATTTCTAAATCCTAAAGCCTCAGAAAATGAAAGTTCCTGTTGGATTCCCGTGGCAGATGCTTTTCAACGGTAGTGAGGTTTCTTCTAGTCTTTTTAAGTGTGACTTGAATGCTTAGCCACGGAAAGCCTTGTGTACTTGCTTATGGGACACTAATGCAAATCCCGCTACCAGGGGCGTTACATGGCTGTGATCCAGGCGCTGAGCTTCCTTACTGAAATCAAAGAAGCACTCGAGATCTCAAGACCCAGCAGGCCCACAAGTTTGGGTGAGGGATGTTCGGCCAGCAGTACTTACCTCCTGTGAAATCCTGATACAGATTAAATGAGGCTCTAGTTTGTACTATAGCAGTCCATAGGAGTGCCCCCTCTTTTGCCCCCCCCTCCCCATTTCCATCTGGTGTCAACAACCCCTAACAGTAGATCAGGAGTGGCAGAGGCCATTCTTCACTCCTCTCTGGCGTCCACAGAGCTCTCAGCTCAGTCGCCAGTGCCTCACAAGCATTCAAGGTGCACTTAATTTTTAAAATGAAGAAATTCCAAAGGAGTCCACTGAAATGTCCTTGCTTCCCTATTGATGATTAACTAAGGAAATGGGAACTCCTGTCATGATCCATTAGGTGGGGAGAGACAAATACAAACCTACGAGACTTTTCCTTGATTTTGATTTTAGGACTTCTCGGCACATCCAGAAATAATTCAGGGCCAAATGGTAGCCTGGGCTGGAATAAGGAGAGCTAATTCTGTCACATTCTGACCTAGTGGAAATTACCAGACACTATAAACCTGCTCTAAAAGCTGCCCGGGGCATCCTCCCTAGGATGAGACATTAGTCACCATTCCCAATGAGACTCAAACCTTCTGGCCTTTTATTTTATCCCTCAGTGCAGAGCTGATGTAGGAGTAAAAAAATGATGAAATGCCTGGCACACTTGGGCTTCTTTCTCTTGAGCAACCAATAAATACGGCCAAAACACAAAACACCTTCCAGGAAATCTGGAAACCTATCCTTCCATGTCCTTCACAGGATTCAGAAGCCCCAGGAGAAAACCTCACCTTCCAAAACAATTACTATAAGGAGAAGTTTGCAGAAACACCATGTGGTAAGGTGAGTCCAGCCACCTCCCTCGCCTCACAGTTACAAGAGCATCTCAACTGCACAACACTGACTGGCTGGAATGTGGTGGTGGGACAGGACCTTGGTGACCACCTGGTCCATTGGTCCTCAAATTAGTGCATACTAATTACTGTGGTTTGTCTATGGTTTCAGTGTACCCCCCATGGGTTCATGGCCTGCAAGCTTGGTCCCCAGTGTGGCAGTATTGAGGTGGTCGGACCTTTAACAGGCGGAGCCCAGCAAAAGGTAATGAGGTCACAGGGACACCACCCTTTAAGAGATGGACACCCTTGTCTCATGGCACTGGATTAATTCCTGCAAGAATGAATTGTCGTAAGGGAGCCTGGCACCTCCTCTGAATCCCTCTTCCATGATTGCAGCCTCTCTCACATGTGGTCCTGTCACAATGCCACTTACCTTGTCGTGATGCAGCCAGAAGGCTCAAGTAGATAGGCCCTCCCCACCTTGGACTCCCAGCCTCCAAAACTGTGAGCTGATTAGACAGATCTCTTTTCTCTATAGATTAACCGGCATCATGTATTTTGCTAGAGCAATAGAAAACTGACTGAGACAGTAATGTTTGGGCCTTTTTAGGGTGTTGACTTTACACACAAAGCAATAGTGAGGGAAACTGTTGGCCCTGAGCATGAATCAAGGCAGCGACATCAAATTTCACTGGTGTTCAAGGTATTCTCCATCACCATCTGCTTGCAATAAAAGTGAATAAACACAATGCAAATTTCACTTAAGAATATCCATGGTGAAACCTAAATATTGTTGACTTTATTCAATCTAGACAGAGCAGCACACACCTTTTCCATCTTCTGTATGACCAAATAGGAACTATGCCTACACATTCTGCTAAAGTGTGAAGGATGGTGGTCAGCGCTTGGGCAGCTTTCTAAAGTGTGAGCAAACTCGCTGATTTTCATGGAATCACTGACAGACTAGTGATTCAGATTTGGGTATTTGGCAGGCATTTCTTGAAAAAAAAACTGAGCCTGTCACATCAAGGCAAACAAATGGTACATTGTTGTCAGTGATAAAATATTAGCTGCCAGGTAAAAACTGGGATTTTGGAAAACTTGTATCTGCCACTGTGAGCATGAGGGCTTCAGAGTACTTAAAAATTCTTCTCATGCAATTTTTTTTTTTTTATATAATTAAAAGTGTCCATGATTGGAAGATCTGTATAACTCAGTAATGTTTTCCAAATGACTAATGCATCACATTATTAAATCATGCAGGGACAAAATATTCAAAGTGCAAGACAGATCAATGGAAATTGATAAAGAATAAAAAGTTTATTGATATGGTTTAAGATTCCATATTAAGAATCTATAGTTTTTCCAGGCACAGTGGTGTATGCCTACAATCCCAGCAACTCTAGAGGCTTAGGCAGGAGGGTGGCAAATTCAAGGCCAGGTTTTTAAAACTGGGCTAGGGATATAGCTCAGTAGTAAATTGTTCCTGTACCTCCCAAAAAAGAAAAGAAACTAAAGCCTGTATAGTTTTCGGGTAGTATCAAAGAAGAATATCTTAGTTTTCAAAAAAAGCTATGAAAATACCTTTTCCCTTTTCCAACTGTTTATCTGAAGCCAAATTTTCTTCATATTCTTCAACTAAAACACTTCATTGCAACAGACCAGATACAAAAGCAAAAATGAGGCTTGAATTATGTTCTATAAGCCAGACATTAAAGAGATTTGAAAAAAAAAAAAAGTAAAACAATGTTACTCATCTCAATAATTTTTCATTTTGGAAAATATCACTTTTTCATTAAAAAAATACACTGTGTTAAATATAATATGTTCACTACTGTTGTTTTAATGATTTCATAAGTGAACATTTTTAATTTCTCAGTTTTCCTTTCTAATAAAAATAAGTGTCAACAGACACAATCCACATTTAAAAAAAAAAAAAAAAAAAGCTCTTGTGTTCCTCAGTAATTCTAAGAGCATAAGAGGCTGGAAAGATCCTGAGGCTGGAAAGTCCCAGAACTAATGCTGTGGTCTAAACTTGCAACCAGACAAGTCGACATCTCCTTGTCCCTATCTCATGAACTAAGTAGCTTGCCCTTAACACGACTAGACCAGTCTCTTCCAAAACAACCTGGTCCACTGATGAGCGGCTCCAGAGAGATAGAGATCCTCAGATCCACAGGGCCAACTGTGTTCTCTGGAGTCACCAAGCAAGTCTACACCACTCAATTCCACGAAGGCCAGCATCACACACCTGGGGTTCCACACACCTGTGATGGCATTCCCTGATCTCAGGAGGCTTATGGACTAAACCCAAGATGGATAATAAGGCTCATCAAAGATGCCACTCCAATCCATCTGATGAGAGCCACTACCTCCGATACCAAGGAGATCCTAAAGTCTCGTTCATGGTCGATTAGAGAGAGAAAGAGAAAGAGAGAACTGAGGTCAACTGATAATGTCTGCTGCAGGCACAGCACCACAGAGACTTAGTCCAAAAGCCACATATTTGCCATCCTGGGTCTAAGCAGGAGGCTATTCCTATATTTGAGGAAACCTCTTCCATTCTGCCAGTGAGACTTTGAGATTAAATATCTCCATCTTAGAGTTTTCTCCAAACTCTTCACCTTCCTAGCCCCTTCATTCTGGACACAGAGCAGTTTATGACTCTTTCTCTTTAACAAGTCACCTAGGATGGCACATGACATCAAGGTGTGGCCTGAACCCCACAGAGGGGAGCAGACTCTTTCCCTTGATCTGGACACCAAGATGCATGATCCCGGAGCCCGAGGGGGCCTCAGACACCTCCGTGACAAGAGAAATAAAAGCCTTGATGAAAGATCCCACAGGACCCAGGCAGGGGCAGGGAAAGGACCTGCTTCTTTCTGTCCTCACCCTAAATGGGTTAAAAGAATAGAGCCAGCATGTCCAGCCACATTCACACACACAGGTGAATGATCGGGCAGGGCACAGGCCACGGGTGCTCTTTCAGTCTGCTCCGGTTCCCGGACACGACTCACGCTGCCCCTGGAGTCCGCTGTTTGATGTTGCTTTGCTTTTCTGCTACTTAATGTTTTTCAAATTCCTCTTACATGAGTGCTCTCATTCAGTGTCATCTCCCTGTCTAATGAGAACATAACACAGTCCTTCCTTCAAGGAGATTATAATATAATAATGCAACTTTTTTGAAAGAGAAAAAAATAAAATCAGAACAACTGAGAGTGTAAGGACTGGGGTGTGTACTCCCTTTGAGCTATCATCTTTTTAAAGAAGATATTCTTTGGAGGTGGGGAGGTCCCCTTCTCCTGGATTCCAAAGATGGAAATGAGATTGTGTGTTTTTATTCTGTAAAGAAATAGTAGGTGTCCTACTCATTACAAGAGGGGTAAACTGAGGGATGGGAAGGAGATGAAGCCTGTCCAAGGACCCACAGGTCATTGACTATAGAGGCAGGGAGAGAACAGAGGCAGATGATCTTCCTGCCCTGCGCACAGATTCCCCCTTCTTGGGCTGTCCTGGGGCTGCCCTGATAAGCCCAGGCAGCGCCTCCGGCCCAGTTCTCGCTCCCCATTCTAACAACAGGAGAAAAAGCAGCAGCCCCACCTGTGCGGAACTGGCCACAGGCCCAGCCATCATGCCTCTGACGATCAGACCCGACTTTGGCCTCGTCTTCTCTCCTGTCCTCTTCATGTCCACGGAAGACTCTGAAGAGTGAAGCTTGTCCATCCTCTCCCACGCAGACACCAAAGCGGGGCCTTCACCTGCAACCAAGTGCACGGGCTTGCTTTTGTGGTGGGGCCTTTTGGATGATACAAGATGACCAAGGACATCCCCGTCAAGATTGTCATGTCTGCAGAAAAGGAATATTTCCACTAATACAGATGCCCCAGGAGGAACCATTAACAACAAGAAAGTCCACAGTCAGCAGTCACTCGGAGCAAGCCCGCGCATAAATAGGGGCTGATCCCGAGCCTTCTCATGAAAGGTCAAGAATAGGAAATACTTTTTGGTATCAGGGCAAGTTCAGCTTACAAAATAAGACCAGCAATCAAACAAATAAAGCCAGAGATGATGATCCATAATAGGAACCCTCCAGGCCTTAAAACAAAAGAACATCCTTGGTCTTCCGGACCTGTGTGATAGGGGGAAACCAGAGCCCTGGGATACAGCCCCACTGTAGTCCTCTGAGGGGGTGGAGAAAGCTCGTGGTGAACTTGGCATTCCCCAGCTGTTAAGGGAAGGTAGGGCAGGTGTGCCTGTGGCTTCTTATCTTGAGAGACAGAGGGAACATATATATGTGTACTAATGTATGTCTGTGTGTGTATGTGTGTGTGTGTGTGTGTGTGCATGTGTTAGAGAGAGAGAAAGAGAATCAGAGGGCGAGAGAGAGAGAGAGAGAGAGAGAGAGAGAGAGAAACAAAAGAAGGTGACAGTGAGAGCAAACAAGGAGTGAGAAAGAACAAAGCAAGCAAGAAAGACTAAGACAAAGCAAGAAACCCAGGTGAAGAGGAACCTCACCCAGGAGGGCTCCAAAGCCAGTGCTCTCCTGGTAGGCTCGCCTATTTACTGTACTGGCTTGGGTGGGTACTGACACCCACTCTACGCCAAGCCCTGGGTCACACATGACAGCCACAGTCGTGCATGCTGTGACTGGGGCATAGCAAGCACAGGAAGGGACTGGAACCCACCTGGTGAAATGCAAAAGGGCTTTCAGGGAAGGGTAGCCCTGAGTCAAGGGATTGAGTAAACAGGAGACCCCCAAGAGAGAGCCCCAGGCCCCAGCTTGTGGGATGTGCTCAGATGAGCCATGGGGCTGGTCATGGGTAGGGTTTTGCAAACTATCCAAAGGAGATGGGGTTTTCTCCTGGAAGCTGTGGGGAGTGGCCTGGCCACACTTGTTTTATGGAAAACGCTCTCACAATCTCAGTTCAAGGAGAAGATGGCCAGAGGCCTAGAGGCCAAGGCAGAGCCCACAGGAGTTATGCAGGGAAAGGGGATGGGAAATGTGAAGTGAGACCCTTGCAATTGGGCAGGGAAGGGGCAAAGCAACTAACATTATCAGGGACAAAGACCTGCTGACAGAGCTCAAAGAAAATGGCAAGAAGAAGGAATGAAGGGGAACACCCAGGTGTTGAGTTGGGTACCTGGGTGGACTCAGGAGCTTCAACTACTTTCCATCCATTTTCTTGCTGCTATTTATTTATTTACTGTACCAGAAATATTTAATTTCCCAGCTGAATAAATGCCTTTGAGGGAGAGGCCACCTTCTTCATTCCACCATCACAACCTTTCACATCTGAACCATTGAATGAATTGTTTTTGATGGTCCCTGCCCTTCGGCAGCCAAACACCCGTGCCTGGAGATCCAGCTTTTCTTAGGAAAGGAAATGCTTTTCTGCCAATCAGAACAAAAGACCCATTTCCTGGAAGTGAAATCATGACTGGTGACCCCATGCCATATATGACAGTTGTAGTAGTGTTAAATCCACTATCGGTGACTGCGTGCAAGGTATGAGGGTTGTACGTTAGTGTAACTGTTCTCAAGAAAATAGGTTCCATCAAGAATGCCAATTCACTTTCTTCAAGAGTTCCAAGAGATCATTGCCCTAGGTACATGTATGATGGCATGAACGGTGTGACTCTACTTTGGGTACAACCAGAAGTGAAAAATTGTGCTCCGTTTGTGTGCTATGAATCGAAGTGCATTCTGCTGTCATGTATAACTAATTAGAATAAATAAACAAAAGAGTTCCAAGAGACCTGATCTTTTAGATCCTCTCTAATTCTACAGGGTTTAATTGCCTTTTAGAATACTATATTCTGTGCTTAAGAAAAATCAAACTGACTGCATGCAGGGTATGAGGGTTGTAAGTTAGTGTAACAAAGAAAGCCCCTGAACCTAATCAATCACAGAATTTCAGTTAGGCAATGTGAAGCTTAAGTATTCTCCATCCCAAAGTGATCCATACTCTTGGCCTCTAGAAGAAAACAGCAGGGTCCCATCACAGAGATATCTGAAACGGAGTGTGAGAAATCAAATAATGTGTACTCCAAAGGTGTCCCCATCCCAATCTCTGGAATCCATTGATCTGTCACCTGACCTGGTGAAAGGGCCCGTATGCATATGCATGTGTGTGTCTGTGTGCCCTTTTACCCTGTCAGGAGATACACTGCAAAGTGATTATGTTAAGGATCTTGAGATAGGGAGATCCCCCTGGATTAGCTGGTGGTCCCAGTGTCATTGCTGGAGTTCTTCTTGGAAGGAGATGGGAGAATCAAAGTTAGTGGTAAAGTCAGGGGCTGTAATGGTGCAAGAGGTCTGAGTGGCATGCTGTCAGGTGGCCCATGAGCCAAGGAACGAAGGTGACCTCCAGAAGCTAAGAAAGGACAAGCAATGGAATTTCCCTCAGAGCCTACAAAGAGAGCTGGGCCCACAGGCACCCTGCCTTTCACCCAGAGAGACCGACTTTGAACTCCTGACCCCTATAATTGTGAAGGAATACATTCCCATGGCTTTATGCTACTGGGGTGGTTGAATTTTATGTCAATCTGGCTAGGCTCTGGTGCCCAGGTGTTGAGTCATCTTATGTGTAGATGTTGCTATGAAGGTGGCTTGTAAATGCAATTAACATTCCTAACCATTTGACTTTGAGGAGAACAGATCATTCTCAATGGTGTAGGCGGGCCTTGCTCTATCCATTGAAGACTTGAAGAGCAGAATTTGAGGTTTCCCAAAGAAGGAATTCCTAAGATTGTACACGAAACCTCATCTGAGTTCCCAGCCTTCAGATCTGTTCTGCAGATTATAAACTTGCCACAATTGCATAAGCCAGCTCCTTAAAACAAAGCTATTTTGAAATAGATAGATAGATAGACAGATAGATAGATGGATAGATAGTTGGTCTTCAGCCTATAACAGTTCTACTTTTAAGTTTTCAGTTTCATAATGGTGTGAAAATGATACACACTAAGTAGAATCCATGCTTCAATTTTTGCATTTTGATCTTTGCTACTAATGTGCAGTACAATGCTCTCTCAATAGTAGGCAGTGGCAATAAGGCTCAATTCACAGTCAGCCTCACAATCCATCACAAGAGGAAGCAACCAACACTCCACAGTGGCCTGTGTTGCTAAGTTATGATGTCCTGTAGGTTTGGTGAATTAAATGCATTTTTGATAGGACTTTTTTAAACTATAACAGGTTTATCAGAATGTGACTCCATTGCAAATTGGGGAGTATCTCTATATGCTGTGGGCCCACCCTTACCAATACACCCACTAAGTATACAGTGATTTGTTATAGCAGCAATAGGAAACTAATACACAGAGTAAATGGGAAGAGATACCTGGCTTTGCCTGTTTCTGTCAATGATGTTCTCCATCCTGCGTCTTCATCTGAAAGGTCATATATATTTACCAGCTTGGTCTCTGAGCATCTCAACGGCAATTTGTTAATTTTCTTTGGAACTGAGAGTGCAGGGATCGGGGTTTCTTGAGTTAAATTGTTATCTGTTTTTCCAGAGTGATCCAGAAAATATCTGGTCATGAGTTCAAGGTTTGTTTTTAGAGGATTTTCTTTTGCCTATCGTTGAGAGAAGAAAAGAAACATTAATTATGTGAACAGCTTCCAGGGAAGGAAGGGTGGGAAAGTAGCTATTCCAGTTCTTTGAAATAAGCTTATCAACTTCTCACTCGCTTGTATATACTTTCAGAAAATATGAGCTGGCTGCCTATAACATATGCCAGGCACCCACCGAGGGTGGGCAGGGATGCAAAGGTGAAGACAACATTTCTATCCCAGAAAAACTAACATCCAATGCATGGCTCTGGCAATTCAATGAACAATCATACTAGGATTACCCAAGTAAATCTCTTAGTATTTTTCTCCTAGGAACAACTTTATAAAAAACATATTCTTTTATAAGTAACAATAAATGTTGGCAAGGATGTGGGGAAAATGGTACATTCAAACATTGCTGTAAATTGGTGCAACCACTCTAGAAAGCAGTGATTCCTCAGAAAACTTGGAATGGAACCACCATTAGATCCAGTTATCCCACTCCTCGGCATGTACCCAAAAGGTTTAAAATTAGTGTACTACAGTGTCAAGGTCACATCAATGTATATAGAAGCTCAATTCACAGTATCTAAGCTATAGAATCAACCTAGATGACCTTCAACAGATGAATGGATAAAGAAAATATGATACACATATACTATGGAATATTACTCAGCCATAAAGAAGAATGAAATAATGGCATTTGTTGGTAAATGGATGGAACTGGAGACTATCATGCTAAGTGAAATAAGCCAATCCCCCCACCCCAAAAAAGGCCAAATGTTCTCTCTGATATGCAGATGCTGACTCACAATAGGTGGGGAGAGGGAGGAGTGGAAGTTCACCAGATTGGACAGGGGGGAGTAGGCGAAGGGGAGGGAGATGGGAATTAGAAAGACAGTAGCATGAATTGGACATAACTTTCCTATGTTCATATATGAATACATGACCAGGGTAACTCCACATCATGTACAACCACAAGAATGGGAAGTTATACTCCATATATGTATGATATGTCAAAATACATTTTACTATCATGTATAACTAAAAAGAACAAATAAAAATTTAAAAAGAAGAAAAAATATATATTCTTCAATTTAAACAAAGTCTTAATCCATAGGGACACTAACTAATAGATTCATAAGCACTTGGGGTTCTTAGTATGTACCCTAACCCTTTAGCACCAAACACCAGCGATTAGAGACCACTGGAACAGAAGGTTAACATGAAAATCAGAGAGAGGCAGTCAGATTGACTCAGTTTACACTCCAACCCTAAAATAAATAAATAAACAAATGAGACTTTTAGTAGCAGTTTTTGTAAATAAATGATAGTGCAGCCCTGCCTGCACTAAAATATTCTCTTTGAAATATAGATTTTCATGACACACTGAGGCCCTCTAAGCCAAAATAGCAAGAATCAGAGCCCTGATTTCTCCTAAAATTCCCTCTAGTGATTTGGACAGACATGGCCACAAGCCACCGGATGGCCTCAGCAGCTGCCATGCCTCAGTCACCACCCCATGAACCTGGAACCACCCAGGCCCTGCTGAGCGGTGGCCTGACCTGGGCCCAGTGGTCATGCAATCAGAGTGGTGAGCCATGTGACAGGCACCTGGAGCCGAGAGCACCCTCAGAGCAAGTCAGCTCCTTCCTGTCTGTTCCTGTGATCCACGCCGCAGAATGCTCAGACCCACAGCCAATGGACCAGGACCAAACTCAACAGATTTATCAGACGGTTAATATCAGAGGAATGAAATAATGGCATTTGTTTACTCATTGTTTTAGTAGGAGACCAAAGATGAAAAAAAAAAAAAAAAGATTATTTGTCAAAGTCTAAAGCTTACAATGAAGAGAGATGAGGGAAAGATTTAATCTGTTTAACTTATTTCGGCCTGCATGCTTTTTCTCTCAATCAGGAAGATTGAGGGCCCTGGAGGGTCTGAATTATACATCAGGGTTTTCACATCACTTGGCTCACAACAGACACACCCTATGTTTATGTGAATCTAGACACCATTTCTCAAAACCTCAATTTTCCACGGCATTTTAATCTATCATATACTCAGTGGGGGGAAAAGCAAGTTATTGGGAATATTAACATTAAATTTATAGGGCTTTCCAGGATCACATTGCTTTGGGCTGAGTGAATGTCAAAATTAGCATGCAACAAGCAGACTAATGAGCACATTTTTTTCTGTAAAATATAGACTCTCATTCATTGTATCCCAGCTAATGACTACTATTTAAATCAGATAATCAGGGCACTTACCAAAGTCTGATGAAAACATATTAAGTAGCTTAGGACAACAGTTATCTTAGGGAGGCTAAATATGGTAAGGAAATAGAAATCACTTGAATCGCACAGATACTTCTGATAAATTAGGTAAAAGTGATTTTCCATAAAATCCCACTGTATCAGAACAGACAATTGTGTTTTCTGGGCAACAAACCTCACCCCTGTGCAAAATCTTAAACTGCACAGTCCACTCTCCTGCCTCAGAATCCAGCAGACGGAGGATCGTGGGATATCTGCTGCCTGGGTGAGCAGTTTTCTTGCCCAGAATGGCTCACAGAAGAGTAAACAGGAACATACAGGAAACGAAGGGGGTAAGTGTCACCCCAAGACGCAGAGGATGAAGGCCATCTCTGTGATGTCTTTACTGAGCCTCTGATGCTATGACCCTTTGCTCCTCAGAGGCAAGCATGAGAATTTCTGGCAACCGGGTGCACCTGTGAGTTGAGGCCAGCTGGTGGGGGTGTATGGATTTTCCTGAAAGTCCGTTCTTTGCTCTGTTGAGGAAAACCTGGCCTAAGTCCCTTCCTGGCCCACGATACATATTTAGATGGTTTCCAAGTGGTTTGGAGGTCCCACTAGGTGTCTCAGGAGTAGCCTTGATCTCATCCCTATAACAATCCAATCGGCTAAGATTTTGTGTGTAAAAAAAAAAAGCATTACAAATTAAAAAGAAATAAATAAATGCTTGACCACCTTTGCTGTGATAGGATTGGGAATTGGAATCCGTACCCCATAACTGACCGTGAAACCTGGACGGCCACTTTTCTGTAGCTCACAGCTTCCCTCTGGAGGTAGGAGGGATCCCCTTACATCACTGATTTAAAAACTGTTTAACAGGGCATTGGGGGTCTGACCCAGAAAGCCCAGAAGGCAGGACCTCCCTCCCCACTTCCAATAAGGTGCCTTCCTTTCTTTGTTTTGTATATTGGACTTCTGCATGAGATGTCTTTGTATTGCCTTGTTTTTAAAATTCTGATACATGATCAATCAAGTTTCTTTCTGACTCCACCCAACCCCGGAGCAACATATTCTCGAGAGCCCATTCTTTGAATTAGAAGATTCTACTAATTAAGACGGGGTTGTGGCTTCATTCCCTCATATAGACGCGTTTCCCTCTACTCGTTCATTTATTCCACAAACACAAAGGGATGCCTCATTGCGTCATCAGATGATAACATGAAGTTCAGGGACACAACAGTAAACAGAGGCTGTCACCACCTTGGCTGCCTGGGGAAACAGATACTAATGAAAGAAGCACTCGACTCTTCTATTACCCAGGAGGCAAACACACACAAAAGAAACCCAAGGGGCACCATGAAAGCCAGTAACAGCAGGTGCCTAGGACTGAGGCTGGGGAATCAGGGAAGCCCCCTCCCACCCAAGGAAGAGCCAGCCACTTGCTGTCCCAACTCCAACGCACCTAGGTTAAGCTGAACCCAACTCCCACTTTTGCCTGAATGATATGTCACAGTACACTGCAGACTAAGGCATTACTCAGAACCCAAGAAGGAAAGTCTTACACCGGCAGGGAATGGAAAATTTTAGTATAACCGAATACTATATTATTAAGTACAGCCTTGCTAAAAATAGCCTCATATGCCTCGTGTTGGGAGGAGGGAGCACAGGAGACGACTTGAAGCTGGGCACAGCCAGAGGCTCCGGAACAAATGAGTGCAAAACAACCACAGGAGCGCAGCCCGCCCCTGGGCAGTACGGGGCTGCCCAGGCTGAGAGCCGTGGGCCCTGCCAGCACTGGCTTTGGCTGTTTCTCACCATTTTTTTTTTCGGGGGGCGGTGGTGGTCAGGAGTCCCCTGAGACCCCTGTCATCTTTGCAGGCCCATGAGTGCTGCTCAGTTCCACAGCTCCAAGCGACTCCTTAAAAAAGCACACACCTTGTTCTCCCTGTAGAGAAATTCGAGATGCAAAACCTTGCGGAGATCATTTCTGCTGTTTATGCTGAGATCAGAGCGTGGGCGTTCCTGGTCCATGATCACACACGTCTTCTTTAAGCCCTGAGGGAAGAAGGCTGAATCACTCTTCTTCAAGTTAAATCAAAACCTTCCGTTCTCTGACGCAGGGTAAACAAAAACCAACTGATGTTGATTATGATCATCCTCATCTGGCCAGCCTTTATGAGGTGATTGCAAGTTAAGAATTCATTTTTACATAACCCAGCCTCACAGCTATTATTTCCTTACAGTAGCCCTGTGGGTCCATCGGGCTTCACCATGGATTCCCTACCAGTCAAGCCCTTTGGACAGCAGGTAAGGAGTGACATCCAGGTAACTGATTCACCCAAGACCAACTCAGGGGGCCCGGAGTTTGGCTGTAGATATGTGGCTATGGAATATGAAACTTCAAAAGTAAACGAAAGAAAAAAACATAACAAAAGGCCAACGTTCACTCCCTTCACCCCTGAGATGGATTAGGAGGGGGCAGGGTTGAGGGACCCATGACCACATAGTGGAATCATATAGCAGGTCTGATACCCCCGCAGCCTGTGAGCTTATGATTCTGGAACCCAGGCCCATGGGGAGCCCAGGGTGAAAGTTTCACTGGGTCACCAGCACAGCTGCTGTCCATCATCCCACCCTGAATGCCCAGAAACCTAGATTCTGGCAATGATAAGTCGGGGAAGCCCTGTCCCCAGCAGGAGCCTGGGTTCTTCCTTTGCAGCCACTGCCTGCCTCTTCACCAGCCACCATGACCTGCATGGCTGCAGGATGAGGACATCCTCACAAAGGGCTCAGCCTGGGTCAAGAGTATCTCTTGCTCTTGATGGATCCCGGACCCCCCAACACTAGACAAGCCTCGACTTCCCCGCAGCCTTTGTGTTCAGAATTTTTTGGTGCTCTACCTGCTGGGAAAGCACATAAAAGACCAACCCCCTGCTTGCCATGCATTTAGGTAAGATGGTCAATTTTGGAAACGAGGTACACACATGACCTTGAACCAAAGATTGAAAAGGAGCACCTAGGAAGGGCCAAAGAAATATGGATGTGTGCAGTGGAAAAGAGGTGGCCAGGCTGCATGAGGAGGGAGTGTCCACTGGAAGGAGAGGCAGGCCTCAAAGCAACCATTGCATCTCATCAGGCCTGCGCCATGGCTTCCTCACTGATAAAGTGATAAAGAACGGTCTATATGAGCCTTCCTCTCTGATGGATATCTCTTTATGTTCAGCAACAGTTCCAATCACCAAATCCAGGTTCACTTACTCTCCCCCATTGTGATGCACACCAACATTTGAAAACCACTAGGGTAGGGTCCCAGGGTGCTCTCAGGAGTCAACTAGCCTTCAGTCCCATCCAGCCACTGAATCTGCATTCACTCAACAAACATTTGCCCTGCTGTGTGCCAGGCTGTCCTAGATGCAGGAGGTACAGAAGGAGGGAGAGCTCACAGTCTGTGGGAAGCAGACCGTTGATGAATGGTACGCACACTGTGGGCAGCGGCTCACCGCACCACTGTGGAAATAGAACAGGGAGGGTGAATGCAAAGACAAGGCACAGTGTTTCATTGAGCATCATTCCTGAGCTCACTCTTGTCTCCTGACTTCCCCATCTATGAATTGAAGGGAACCCCTAGTCTACTAGTCCAACTGCTAGAGGCAGAGAGGTGAACGAATCAAAGTCCCACCCTCATACAACTTGCATTCTATAGGGGGAAAAGACAAGTCTAATATGCTGGGGGTGGGACATATATAATATGAGTAGTGAGACAGAAAGGGCCAGGCAGTGAGTGGCATGGAGAAGGGTTGCTATTTTATAAAAGGTGATCAGGAAAGGGTTCGTTGATCAGGTGACAACGGAGCAGAGATGGAAGGGAAACAAGAGAGCAGGCCATGTAGACACTTGGGAGAAGAGTGTTCCAGGCAAAGAACAGCAGCTTCAAAGGCCCTGTGACAGCTGCAAGTGCCAATGCATCTAGAACCTCACAGCTATATAGGGAAAGTCTCAGAAGGTGAGATCAGAGAGATCACCCAGAGCCTGGTAAGCAAAGATTATCTTCGCCATGCTTCTGATGGGATATAGGAGGATTTGAAAACAGAACCATAGGGGACTAACATTTTTAAAGGAACGTTGGCTGCTAGGTTAAAAATAGAATATAAGAGGCAGGGGATTAAGCAGAAACCATTTAGGAGGCTACTGAACAGTACCATTCCCATGAAAGGTGGAAGAGGGTTAGTCCAGGGTGTTTGCATCATTAGTGGCTGCATTCTCTATGCCCTTTGATAGTAAAGCCAACAGATGGGCTGATGGGCTGGATGTGAGGGGCACGAGGAAAATAAGTGTCTTTAACTGCAGGGTCTACACTAACTCTAGTGTCAGAATGCAGCTGAATTGTGGGAAACTCAATTGGTGTCCGAAAAGTTGAAGACCTGGTTGGGGGAAAAACTCACAATTTGGCGTTGGGAATGTTGTGAGTGGGAACATCACTGTATATATCAAATGGAGATGCTAATTAGACATCCAAGTGGAAATGCAGCACTCAAAGTTGGAAAAAATTCAAAGGATTCAGGGAGAGAGCAGCTAAACATAGGCATTTAGGAATTGTCAGCACACATTGATGGTATTGGAATCATAAGACTGCATGAGACGCCTCAAGAATGAATGAAGAAGAGAAAGAAAGGGAAGGGAAGAGGGCAACAGACTGAGTCTTTGAGCCACCAGCATGCACTGCACAGGTCAGAGAAAGGAGGGGCGACCAGCAAAGACCTGAGAAGGAGCCACCAGAGAAGGAGGAGGAAGCCAAGAACAGGTGGTCTCTCAGAAGCCAAGAAGAAGGCTGCAACCAACTGTGATGAGCACAATTGTTAGATCAAGAAAGGCAAGGTGGAAAGCAGTATAAAGATTTCTTGGAAAATTAGAAATGGAACCACCAATTGACCCAGCTATCCCTCTCCTCTGTCTATACTGAAAGGACTTAAAAACAGCATACTACAGGGACACAGCCACATCAATGTTTATAGCAGCACAATTCACAGTAGCTAAACTGTGGAACCAACCTAGATGCCCTTCAATAGATGAATAGATTTTTTTAAAATGTGGCATGTATACACAATGGAATACTACTCAGCAATAAAATAGAATAAAATCATGGCAGTTGCAGGTAAATGGATGGAGTTAAGAGAAGATAATGCTAAGTGAAGTTAACCGATCCCAAAAAAAAAACAAATGCTGAATATTTTCTTTGATATAAGGAGGCTAAATAAATCATAGTAGGGTAGGGAGAGGGAGCATGGGAGGAATAGACAAATTCTAGATAGGGAAGAAGGATGGGAGGGGAAGGGAGGGGCCATGGGGTTAGAAATGATGGTGGAATGTGATGGACATCATTATCCAAAGTACATGTATGAAGACACGAATTGGTGTGAATATACTTTGAATACAATCAGAGATATGAAAAGTTGTGCTCTATATGTGTAATAAGAATTATAATGCATTCCACTCTCACAGAAAAATAAAAATTAATTTAAAAAAATATAAAGAAAGAAAGGCAAGGAGCCCAGTGTGGTGGTGCACACCTGTAATCCCAGTGGCTCAGGAGGCTGAGGCAGGAGAATTACAAGTTCAAAGCCAGCCTCAGCAACCCAGCGAGACCCTGTCCCTAAATAAAATACTAAAAAGGGCTGGGGATATGGCTCAGTGGTTAAGAATCCCTGGATTCAAATGCTGGTACCAAAAAAGAAAAAAAGGCAAGGGGTTTAGAGGTCACTGATGACCTTGACAGTGGTCTCCATCAATTGGTGGGAGAAAAACCTTGATTCAGATGAGTCTGGGAAAGTGGAAAGAAGGGTTAGAATCAGAGCATACACAGTTTTTTTAGAGGTTCCATTATAAAAAGGAGAAGAAAAAGACTAGTAGCTGGGGGGACTGGGGGTCAAGGTGTGGTCCTGCAGGAGTGTGTGCATATTCAGCAGAGAAGGAACGTGTGTGGAGAAGAGCACGGTGGCAATCACTAGGGCTGTGTCCTTGAGATGCGGCAGGGAGCAGGCTCCCTCGCAGGGATGTTCTTGCCCAGGGCCTGGAGAATCTCTTCACAGGAACAGGATGGAGAGCGTGGCTCAGGAAGGTCAGGAAGTGTGGGGGTGGGAGCTTGCAGGACATAGCTCATTTCTCATGACTGCTTCTGTTTTCTGAGAAATTAAATGGGGAAGGAGCTATGGGTTTGAAGGGAAAGAAGGTGTAAGAGAAAGAGGTTCCTGTAAGGACTGGAACCTCTGCGGAATCTCAGGGGTGAGTGGCTGTAGATTTAGAGTGATGCTATCAACATGGAGGTGTGTTTCTCCAGTACCACTCAGCTCTGCAGGTGCAGGCATGGAGTAAACCGAGTTGAATTTTACCCAGACCAGGGGAGTACAACAAAGGGAGAGAAGATCAAGGGGGTTGAGCCTATCATAGAGCAGGCAATTTTAATGACAGGTGGATAAGGTATGGGAGGAGCGGCGGTAGGGCTGGGGGACCATGAAAGGTTGCCAAGAGCAATGGAATCAGATGCAGGAGAGGCTGGAGAAGTGGGAAGAGCTGGACATAGAACAGGTGGGATGCTTGGAACTGAAATGATGGAAAGGATGCTGGGCTGGTAAAGACACTCCTAGGGCGTGACTGTGAGAAATGGTAACAGAGGTCAGAGGGAGGCATATCTCTGCCACAGCGGGGCCACAGACCCAAGTGTCAACTCTGGATGCTCGTGTCACCTGAAGACTGTGATGAGTCTCCCTGAGGAAAGACCATATTTGGCGAGTTCAAGCAAGCCCACATGGCTGGAAGGTGGTGGAGGCCATGGCAGAGGAGGTCCAAGGGGGCAGCCAGAACATGGGGAGCCATGTAGCCTACTGAGGCTGGGAAGCCGGTGGAGTGTTTGAGAAGAGGAGTGATGTGGTCTGACCTACTCACCCAGGGCAAGTGTCTCGGCCTCTTGGTCTCACAACAGTCTTGCATGAAAAGGAATGCTGTAATTCCCTCTCTTTCAGGACTGCCTTAAAGATTTGAGAAAACAAACAGGCATCTAGAAGGTGCCTAGCACCCTGGGAATTCTTTTGGTCAAGACTGTTGGGTACCTGCCTATACAGAGCCCTGTGAGGAGCTCAGGATCTCTGCCCTGGAGCAGACAGTGCTGAGAAAAGCACAGCCCTAGGCTGCAGCTGGCTCTTGTGACTTTCTAAGTGACTGGGGCCAACACCTTACGACTCTCAGGACCTCAGTGTGTACAGATAAAACATGGAAATCAGGAATCTGGGAGGACTGGACAATTCCCAAGGTGCCATCCTTTTTGGGGATCAGCTCTGTGGCCCCATTTAGGAGGTGATTCAGGCAGATGTATTGACTATAACACGAGCAAAGAGAGAACACAGACCAGGATCAGTCCAGCCAGAGTCAGCTGAGAAGCGCTCAGGAAGAAATGGAATTTGGGGTGGCCCTGAGTAGATCAGGGGAAAACTTGGAGGGGAAGGAAGAAATGATGTTGGAGGGTAACCTGAGGTCCAGCTATAGGGCACCCTTGGCTGTCAGCAAGGACTATGGGCTTCATTTGTACCCAGGAAAGAAAGGGCATGAGGAAGCCTTCTATGAGGTTTCGCTTAGTCCAAACTTAAATGATGGTTGTGGTCAACCTCCTAAATTGTGCCACAGATAATCCAAGGGGCAGCCAGGATTTGGTGATGGAAGCTCAAAGCAGATACAATGACGCTAAATGCATTTAAATTTTTTTTCAAAATAAAGCAAATTATAAAAAGCCCACAAAGTCACTTTCAAAACAGGTGGGTATCAAAGATGGGGAAGCAGGTATGAAGTTAAATTCCTATGTGTGCATTGTATCTACTCATCAGATATAATGCTTAGGAGCTGCCTGTGTGTTATTGTTAACCCTCATCATGAGTCTGTGAAACATGAGTCTTAATTTTCCCATTTTAGAGATAAGTACACTGAGGCCACAAGTAATGTGCCCAGGTCACACTGAAAACTAGTAGCACGTACTTGAACCTCTTCCATCTAATCTCAAAGTCCTTTCTCTTTGCTCTATTTGACACATTGTGTGTGTGTGTGTGTTTGTGTGTGTATGTGTGTATTTCCTTTCCAGACAAGTGCCCCATAAGCACAGAACCAGCAGCATATAGCTCTCAGTCACTTCATGCAGAATCAACTACTGGATGCCTCTGACACCACCACCACACACACACACACACACACACACACACACACACATAAATACACACACACACCAGCATGTGCCTTCCTCACCCAAGTCTCCATCTCCACTGTCAGGGTGGATTAGCGTTAAAGACCTTCTCAACTTGTAAACACTTTGCAAACTCTCCTGGGACAAAACAGGAGGGAACTTAGACAATCCCCCTACAAAAAAAAAAAAAAAAAATGAAGGCCACAGCCAGAATTCCTGCTGTGGACTTAAAATGGCTGAAAGGTTTGACTGTCCAGAACTTTCCTCAACCCTTGGGGCTCCTCTGTGGAAAGCCCCTACCTAGGGGGACACAACCTGGGGGTGACTGGCTATGGAGACAGGCAGCCAGGCTCTGGTCCGCTTCCCCATCTTTGCACGAGGAGCTGGCTCAGCCCTGGAACTACCCCCCCTCCCCACCCAGCTGCTGCCCACCCACTGAGAGTGGATGCCAGGGGAGGGCAGAGGACAGGGGGACCCAGCCCTGCTTGGCTGAAGCCAGGTGACCACCACAGAAATGGCTCCTGGGAAATGTAGTTTCCCCCATCCTGGGAAAATGGCGCTCTCCTGGGGGCATCCCTGAAGCAGACAGCAGGCCAGGAACGCTCCCTCCCCAGGGGTACTAGGCCTCCCCCCACTGGCTGCCCTCCAGGACTGGAGCCACCACGTGGGCTCTGGAGAGGGCGAGGTGTTACCTTTCTGTTGAGGAACTCCCTGACCAGGGAGGCGGCCACCTCCTCCACGAAGAGGGTGTCCATGCTGCCAGCTCTGCCCACCAGGCCACGATAGGCCGCAGCCCCAGGCCCCTTAGTCCGTTGGGCCCAGTATGGCCGCGTTGCCGTGGTGACGGTGGCATCAGAGCCAGCAACAACTCCTCCCCTTCCCTGGGAGCCAGCAGGCTAGGAGGGCGGAGGAAGAGGAGGAGCCTGCTTCTAGCTGCTCTGGAGCAGGAGGACACAGGGAGAGAGCTTGGCTGCCAGGGCTAGGCCACGGGCTGCAGACTCTCTCTGACTCTGGGCCTGTCATTGTGGGTGGCCTAGCACAAGTCGTTGCTTCGACTTGTGTCTCCACCTCCCTAAACACAAAAGGGAAAGTGTGTCCGCCTGCCTGTTCGTGGAAGATTAAAACCACAGTGAAGCACTTGGTTCACTGGCCCGCCTGGCTCTGTGACCTGGACTATGGGGCAAGGAGGCCGGGCTTTGCTTCCTGAGTGCTGCAGTTAAAGGACATGTCCCTTTAGCCCCCTTGGAGCCAGCTTTCCCACAATGAGACCCCCCCATGTATTGAGCACCAAGAGCTTTACACACGTTACCTCACCTTCAAGCCTTACAGCTTGCTGGCAAGAGGGCTACCACCAGCCTCATTCTCGAAAACAAGACCCTGAGATTCAGAAAGGCAGATTTTGCTGGAGGCTATGCAGTTAGGGACTGGAAAAGCTGGGGTTCCCTCAAAGCCCCTGTCTGCCCAGTGCTGTTTTCCCCAAACTCAGGAGCTTGGTACAGCTTCTCAGCCATCCCCACAGCTGCTCATCAGACGCTGTATGCGGTTTGCAATTGAAGGGCTGATGTAACAAATGCCGAGACACTGTGGCTTCAACAGCAGGTTCATTGCTGCACAGTCCTAGGGCCTAAAATCCAACATCAACTTGTCCTCAGGGTTATTTCTTGAGGCCTATCCCCTGGGCTCCATCCTCCCTTGGTCCTTCCGTCTTCCCTCTGTACGTATCTAGGTCCTAATCATTTCTTCTTATAAAGACATCAACCACATAGGACTAGCGCCCCCCATAATGACCCAGTTTTAACTTCACTGTCTGTTTAAAGACCCTATCACCAAAAACAGTCACCTTCTGAGGGACCAGAGACCAAGACTTTGGCATCTGAATTTGGGGGACACCAGCACCTGAATTTGGGGGACACACTTCAGCTCACAACATGTATACTGTTACTTACGTGTGGTTTTCTTTAAACTGACCTTACATGTTCTAAACTTTCTCTTAAAAGGAAAGTATTCCTGTCACAGGAGAGCAGGGAGTTGAAACTCTACCCTGGCTCTTGTATTCCAGCGCAAGAAAATTTGAAGTCAGACACCAAAAGTCATGCAAGAGACCTTTATTATAAGTGAACGTAAAGAGAAAGTGAGGTGAAAGTAAAGTAAGAGCACAGTGAGGCTCAAGCAGAGAGCACTCTCGGGAGAGAGAGTGAGCCGTCTCTGAGCAGAGAATGACAAGGAGACAACGCTGTCTCCAAGTTTATTACTGTTCGATGTTTACCAGGAGACCTGGTGCCACCTGCTGCACTCTTTGCCGATCAGGTGTTCAACTCCTCCTTCACGTCAGGAGGTGGGGTCTTTGAACTTAGTTTGTCCTCTCCAGAACTGTCATGGTGGCCTTCCTCTTTAGGGGGACTTCATCTACAAGTCAATCCCATGATAATGTGGACACTGGAGTCAGTAACTGATCAGAAGTTACCTTAGTGCCCCTGGGCTACTAAAGGAATCTCCCTTCCCAGACAAATGGAGACACTCACAGCCATAATTTCTAGCTTCACATCAACATCAATGGACCCTGTCAAGAGTTAGTCCCATTAATCCTTTTCTTTTGACATATTTTCCCATTAGTTCCTTTGCTTCTGTTTATTTTCTACAAATTAACTACCACCCTTTGCTTTCTTATCCACTTTGAAAGTAGTTTAAAGAAGACCCTAAAGAAATTTAAAGGACATTTTGTGACATTACTGTGCATTTCACTGCCCATTGTTAGCTACTACCTAACATACCCAAGCACTAAAACAACAAAACCTTGGGTTTGATTGCTTATTAAATCACATAAAGGAAATACAAAACCAGAAATGTATGCATGTAACTAAAATCTTCTTGTACCCACTGGAACCTCCTCCATGGAGCACAGGTACTGCACTTGGGAAGCCACCATACCACACTATGGTCTCCCAAGGAAATCACTGCAACACGGCAGACAGCTTATCATTGCTGGCCTCCACTGCTTTAGCTGACTGGGCTCTCTGAGAAGGCTCCTCGAGCGCTCAGAGGGTACATGTGTGTAAAGCAGGGAGGGGCAGAGCTGCAGCACACGACACGATGCTTAATCCAGGGGACCCCGTGTCCCAGGTCCAAAAACACTTCATGGATGTGCAATAATAAAGAAGAGCACAGGACAGATTTAGCTCAGGTAAGAGATTACATATGGCAGACAGTCACACCTTCAAGGGACCAGGGATCAAGTCAAATATGTGATCAGTCAAAGCGAGGGAAGAGGCCCCTCCATGGAGAGCAAGGTGAAATTGGGGCAAAGAGAAAAATTCACTTATTCATAAGTCATTAATAAATATGAATTAAACCCCTCCCTGTGCCCAGTGTATGGGTGTCATGGATGTAGCCGAAGTTTATCTGCTTTTTGTTTTGTTTTTGCAGTTCCAGGGATGGAACCCAGGGCTTCACATGTGCTAGGCAAGTGCTCTACCACTGAGCCGATACATCCTAGGCCAACCGTGCATTAAACACCGTAAAAGTGTGCCTTCTTGGAGAGAGAGGAGTGGGGACAGGCAGAGGGCAGCAGAGGGGTGGGGGGAGAAAGACAATGAGCACAGAAATGTTTTTAAAAAGTCAGATTTAAATGGGGGGGGGAAGCACAGAAATAGAGGAGATTTTGGTGCAGGTATTACATGTTTTTTCCAAAGTTCATCAAGTAAGATTGCTTATGTTGTACTATTTCAGCAAATATCTGACAGGAGAAGGTGTGAGCTATGCAGAGACTTGCAGGAGGAGCACTCCAGCCAGTGCAAAGGCCCTGAGATGGCATCCAGCCCAGTGGGCTTGTGAAATAGGAAGGCCAGAGGGGAACGGAGAATCTGAGAAAACAAGAGCCCAGCCCTGTAGGCCTGTGGCCAAGAGAAATACTTTACCTTCTACTCTAACTGGGAACCCTTTGGAGGGTTTTGGGCAAAGGAGAGACAAGATTTTGTCTCTTTCAGGGTCCTTCTGGCTCTTACATTGAGGGTAGACTGTAGAGGGACAATCAGGGCAGCGGGAGACTGGTACAGCAACCATCAGTGATCCAAGTCAAATGCAGCTAGACTGCGAGTGTGTGAGTGTGAGTGTGAGTGTGTGTGTGTGTGTGTGTGTGTGCTACATTTTCCTGGCTCTGGAAGTTTCTACCATATCGGAATGGAACAATGAAGCAAGAGAAGTGCAGGAATGTGTTCTTCTTCCAGACACACAGCTGGCTCCTTGGGGTGCAATAACTTTAAGGTGTCAAGGGAAAAAGCCAATCTTGTCAGTGTGGGAAGGCCAGAAGTTACCCTTCCAGAACTCTGGGGAGAAACTAGATGATATCATAGGTTCCATTCTTGTCCACAGATTTTCTGCAAGTCATCCTGACTGCACACCACTGTGTTCCCGTGAGCGGGAACATTCCCCCTGAGCATCACATGGGAGCCCTGCTCTCCCGCCTGAGTGTGAGTGGTGGTCAAGACCCTCACAAAGGACTCTTTAAAAACCATGCTGGAGTTACAAGCAAAAAGGTCATTAAAATAAGTACCCAGTTATTATAAGTATCTGTGTGTTGGCGTCACATCACGGTGACGAAATACCTGAAATAAACAACTTACAGGGAAGAGAGGTTTGTTTTGGCTCAAAGCTACAGTTTCAGTCTGTAGCCACTTGGACCTCTTACTTTGAGCCTGTGGTAGCACAGAGCATCATGACAGGAGCACATGACAGTGGAGGTCTGTTCGCCTTGCAGCATCTGGAAAGCAGAGTAAAAAGATGGGCCAGGGTTCCATATCCCTTTTGAGTGCACACCCTCAATGACCTAGCTTCCTTCCACTCAAGCCCCCTTCCTAAGGTTCCACTACTTACCCTTAACACCACAGGCAAGCAACCAAGCCCTCAACACCTGGGCCTCGGGGGGACATTCAAGATCTAATCTATAGCAATCTACAGTCACTGACAATGAAAAACAAATGCTTTTCCAAATACCGTAGACAGGGATAAGCCAACAGAGCATGCAAAATAAATAAGCACTATAGTGCATGCTTGCCCAGTACCCAGAAAATACAATTTCTCCACCCCCACATTGACTTCAAACCAGATTTAGCCAAGATGGGCATTAGCCTTACTCGCTCTTGGAAGTCCTTTTCATTCACCATCTCAGAAAATCAATGAACTACATGCTGAATCTTAGCAACGAGGCTGTGAGTGAAAAAGTAAACTCCCAAAAGATTACAGTGTTCATCAGCTTTCCATAGCTATGACACAATACTTGAGAAAATCAACTTAAAAGGAGGAAAACTGTTTTTGTTCCTATTTTCAGAGATTTCAGTTCATGGTCACTTTGTTCCATTGTTTTAGGACCATAGCAAGGCAGAACATCATGGAGGGGAGCACAGGGTAGAGCAGAGCTTCTCACTTCATGATAGCCAGGAAGCAAAGAGAGAGAGAGGAGGGGTCAGAGTCCCAACATCCCCTTCAGGGACACACCCCCAATGACCTAACTTTCTTCCATTAGGTCCCGCCTCCTAAAGGTTTCACCACAACCCAATAGAACCACAGGCTGGTGACTAAATCTTCAACCCAGGGGTCTTTGGGGTACATTCAAGATCTAAGACATAGCAAAACACATCTACACACAGACAGTACAACATCTTTGTGTAAACTTAAAAACGTAAACCACCGGCATCATTACTTGTAGGGAAATACAGTTTCAGGAAAGCTTCATAAATATAAAATCAAGGGAGTGGAGGAGACTTGACTCAGGACAGCAGTAGGCAGGGGAACCCATACAGGTGAATACAGGTCATTGTCAGTGTGCTGGGTATC